TTAACATAAACTAAGAAGAAAATATTTAAAGCAACTCTGATTGATCACGTTAACCTTTGCTTATAAATAATTGTTAGTTTATTTAAAAAAAACTGAACAGTCCTTAATAATAAACTTTACTTGAACTTCAATTGAAGACCTTGCTGCAAGAAGGGAGTAGCTCCATTTATCAAGAGAAGGAGTTGTCCCCTTCTTATACCGAGGTCTTTAATTGTTAATTCCAAGTCAAGTAACCAGAAACATTTTATGGACTGTTGTAAATAATCGTCCAACCTATCAAATTATAAAAAACATATGTGAAACGAAAAGAATTCGAAAACTTTCAACAAAAATCAAATTTTAATAAAAATAACAATATGTTTATGAGAATTGTGAGGTTATAATTGTAGGTACAATAGAGACTTGAAACTATAGCTAAGTTCGGGTCGGTACATCCAACATGTCTGACTTTCTGATTACCCCCACCACCACCACATACGCACTCTAGATTATATATAAGACATCAATGCGAAACACTTATTCCAGATGAGTAAACATGTTATTGAACTGACATTAATTTAAAATTGTCAACAATCATTTCAAAATATTTTTATAAATGCCAAAATAGAGATGATTTTTAAGTAATTTTTAGCAGTCGTAGATAAAATGTTGTACTCGTGTGATTACACGACTCGGTCTACAACCTCGTCGTGCAATTCTATGATTGTTTTATTAATATTAAAGAAAAAAGTAAGTGCCATGGCCCGGTCTCTCTTTCCAAGACTAATCCAACACCGCAAACACCAATCATCTATCTTCTTTTGTTTTTAAGTTATAGCCAAAATGTCAAATTTACGTGATTTCAAAAAATGCTCATGTTTCGTTTATTTTTGAAATTAGAGAAATGGGATTGATACGTTCTTAAGACTCTTTTTTGCCGCTTTTGGGTCAGACGTCTTGTTCAACTTCACTGCAAGATGGTCATGGATTTATCGCAACTGAACTCAACATATTGACTTCATCCTCCTGAAGGTCATTTTGGTATGTTTTTGCACGTGGTTTTGTGAAGGACCAAAAATCCATTAAATTTTTCTGTTAACCGAGTAAAGGTTCTTGCGTGCGGTTATCTTCTTCCCGGCTACCTTGTGAAATATAATTCTACGGCTAACATCGCATTCTTATTTGATAGCATGGCATTCCATCAGGTGACATTTTTCATAATTTTCGAAATTTATTGTAAAGTTTTAGGGTAAGTCCGACAGACAACTTATCAGGATTGATTAGTTGCGGTTTTTTTTCTGTTACAAAAAAATGCCTACCTCTTATAAAAGAAAAGGCATGTCTGGGAGAGGAGAATGGTGTGCAGATAGTTTAAAAAATGCGGTCAAAGCTATTGAGAATAAGGAAATGGGTGTTAATGCTGCAGCAAAAATGTATGGCATACCGAAAACCATTCTAAAGAGGCGTCTCAAGTCACAAAGTTTTAATAAAGGTTCTATGGTGAAAAACTCATTATTGGGAATTGAAAACAAAAAAAAATCATTAGCGATATAAAAAAATTACAATCAAAGGGGTTTACTCCAACTGGAGATTTAGTACGTTAAATAGTTTATTATTATTAAGCAGAAAACCTGCAATTGAAACATAATGCAACTGGCTTTCTTCTTTTCTTGTACGCAATCGTGAACTTTCCATCCGGTAATTTGAAGGGGTGTCTGACATGTGTAAATGGAGAATGTACCCTATTCTTGCCACCTTGTGGCATAATGAAAGGAAAGAATCTAAAGCAGGAGTTTTGTGACGGTTCGCCACCTGGAGGTGAAGTAAAAATGTCTTCAAAGTCTGGCTGTGTAAATAGTGATTTATATTTTTATTGGATGCAAACCCATTTTACACCAAGAAAACCAGCAGGAAAGGCACTCCTCCTGCTAGATGGATACATCGCATACTACCTGTGTTGAAATGCTGGAGTTGGCAGAAAAAAATGAAATAATTTTGATAAGTATTCCTCCCCACACCAGCCTTTAGTTTCAGCCATTATATCGTGCTTTCTTCAAGTCTTTAAAAATGAAAAAAAAATAAAAACAGTTGCTTTGACCTTCTTAGCAGAATAAAATGAATCGGTTAAGAAATTAATGTAATCGATTTAATTGTCGATTGTCTGCTAATTATTACTTGGTTGATGTTTGTAAACTACTAAAGTGAAGTATTTGTTTTCGGTGACGTTTAAAGATAACGTTTAAGATTTATCACGTATTAGTGATAAATAGAAGTAAGAATAACATTTTATGGAATCGTTTATTTGATAGCAATAAGAGGTGGAGTGCGACTAAAAACTAAGGAAACGGGAAAAATGACTGTTTATCGATTACTTTTTAGTTTTGTTGTTTTAATACAAACGGTAAGTCTCTTTAATTTTTTTTATCTACGACTGCTTGGATAAGTCATCATTACCACACCCATTTGAGGTGATTTGAGTTACGTAATGAAGTTCATTACCGCACTGGTTTCATTACGTAACGCATTTTTAGCCCAATCAGAACAGACTTAATTTATTCAAACAAGCAACAATACAAAAGGAAAAGTGTTACCTATTTAAAGAGAAACAATATATTTGTTATAAACATTAATTGTTATGTACTTAGATTTCGAAACACTTATTCCAGATGAGTAAACATGTTATTGAAATTGACATTAATTTAAAATTGTCAACAATCATTTCAAAATATTTTTATAAATGTCGAAATAGAGATGATTTTTAAGTAATTTTTAGCAGTCGTAGATAAAATGTTGTACTCGTGTGATTACACGACTCGGTCTACAACCTCGTTGTGCAATTCTCCACACTCGTACAGTAATTATGTTTCTAGCCCACTTGTAATATAAATAACTATTTTTCTATATTTTCTTATAGTTTATAATATTGACTATGAAAATATTTAAATTCTTACCTAGAAAGTTATGAATGTATCAACATAAATAAACATCAATATAAATTTTTGAAATTATTGTTTTTGTGTATATGTGGGTTATGTGTTTACTGTAAAGGCGGTCCCAAATTCGCTGTCCGCATAGGCTATTTCCGAAACTAAAAGAGATAGAAAAAAAGTAGCTTACTTGTCATCATCTCGTTTTCCGACAAACTGCTAATGCCGAAAACTCATACGCTGGTTACGCGTACCAGTTCCAGATACGCAATGCTGGTACTTTAGGTTAAAAGCTATGAGCATGTCCCTCGAAGTTATTGAACAAAATACATCCAGTGCCTTGTGTCAATAAAATTCAGACTCTGAAAAAAGAAGGGTCAAACTATAGCAACTGTTTTAAGCTCTCCGGAACACATAATTGCCCTTAAAAAGAAAAAAGATGAAAAAGAGTTAAAGATTAAGATAAAAGAAGAAAGACAGGAAGGAAAAGAATAGACACAGTTAGTAAAAGGAAGAGAAAGCAAAAGAAGAAAGTATTTACGTCATCCTCAAAATCTGAAGATATAGATATTAACACAATTGGCAACGATAAGCTGTAAGAAAGTGACTGCGATGATCAAATCAGTGCACAAGATTCGAAAATAAATGCGATTATTGTGGGAAGCGAGATTCTCGAAAGAAGAAAATTGCATAATGACTAAATGTTCTGAACCATGTGAAAATAAATCTGACTACTTTTATTTTCTAAGTATATTGACTATTATATTCACTTATCCCTTTTTAAATAGTTTATAACTCTATATTAATCACTTTTCAATCCGTTTATAACTTTCCACTTTGAAATAAATAATGTTTATACCTTTGATAACCTGTATATCTTGCGTAACACCCTGATTTAGTAACGTATACCAGAGGTCCATCAATCCCTAGCAGGTGGTCCATCAAATCCGAGTACCTCCAGGATAGATGGATTACCGAGTAGAAAAGGAAAAAATCATAACTTGAAGTGTGATTAGTGTAACAATGTGCTTACAATTCTTTAAGGTCATATACATACATATTACACATATTATAAAAATTTATCCTGAATCCTAGATATTGCAAAGTTTCGGAAAAATGATGTTCAATAAACAGCAATTGTCGAGCGAAAAGAAAGTTTATTTTAATAAACAAAGCAAAAACTTCTTCAACAAATACAATCGATAAAACTTGATAAAACCGTTAACAACGTTTAACCGCCTTTTTACTTTTCTAACTGTCTAAAATATGTAACCAACTACTGCTAACCACCCAACACCAAAAATAACTATATTGATAAAACTCCCCAACTTAACAACACACCCCCTCAATAAAGTTATTTGATGTTTTTACACTAATACCATCTCTGAACATTTCAAATTTAATTCTACTTAGGGCCGATCTTACAAAACAGTTTATACCGCTCCGTATACCAAGAATAACTAAATGTTGGTATAAACACTAAAATAAACGTCTTACAATATCGGCGTATAGCATAAGTAACGGTATTCGGCGCAGGATATCTATACCGTGCAATTCAATGGGAATAGCTTATACTAGGAATAAGTCAGAGACTGTTTGACATTGATTATAATCAATCAGACGTAATAATTATTGTATGGAATGGCTTCAACAAATAAAGAAAAACGTGTGGGATGTGCAAATTACAGTTACGATGAAACAGAATCTTTATTAAGCCTTGTCTAAAAGAGCATTTTATTGAGCCTAAAAAAAATCTTTTGCGATTACGATATAATTCCGCATTTTCGCCAACTGGGGACTGAATGCGCACATGGGTACAGGCAATAGCACCTATGACATACGGGAATTTTGCTATGCGATAAAATTGCAGCTTAACGCTAACCAGTTCTTGAGAGCCTCAGATTTTGAGACATAAAAATATATTGTAGCCTTAACGATGCGATTGCCAACGTCACAGCCTTTACGATCTGTCGAGTAGATGCTTTACTGATGCCAACAAAATCTACCATTGTAAGGAGCATAGAACCAGAAACGTAAAACCGTAACGTCAGCAGGGGCATTTCACTGGTAATCGGTTTCTGGTTTCTATTAGTAGGATGAGGTTCGCCCTCTAATTTGATCAAGAATAATGTGGATTGTATTTTTGGTTAACCTAAACTGCATCTTAAACTCGTCTTCTGATAATGTTTCCAAATAATTTACCCTGAGAAGAAGTACATAACTACAGTCATGTTCACGGGAAATGCACACTCAAGGTCAAGCGCTGTTGTGAGATCCGACATGCCGCTAGCTCGGCTGGCTAAACGGGCTGAGCCGAACACCTACGAGCCACGAGCTTCGTGTGCGACTGTACATAGAATAATTATAAACGGACTAGTAATAAGGCACTTTTACCGTATTTTAGATTGTTTCGCACGTCTAAACCGTTGTCCCCTATGACTAATCTCGTCATCATTATCGGAGTCAAACACATCTACGTCCATATTCATATTCGTAAGGACGTAAAATGAAAATGAAACAGAATAATGGTAAACACCGCTGATCAATTTGACAGTCGCTAAACGTAAACAACGTAAACAAACCACATGAGCGCTGCGCGTTATACCCACAGTATTACCAACTTCAACCAACCATTGCAATAACTATTCTGGCATAAAAAAGGCTTTATAAGACGCATTCGTTAAATTAATGCCGAGAAGAAATTATTCTGGGAATAACTATTCCACTGATTATACTAACACTTGTAAGATCGGCCCTTAATGGTTTAGTGAATATATCTGCTATCTGCTCGTCAGTCTTAATATGCACTATTTTAATAATATTATTATCTATTTTTTCTTTCAGAAAGCAAAACTTTACATCTACTGTTTGAGTCTTTTAGTAGTTAGTAGTATTGCCTTCATACAATACTATCGGTTCATCACATATTGGTAAATTGAAGTCTATAATATGTTTTCGTAACCAACAGATCTCTGCCACGGCTAAACTCAATGCTACATACTCAGACTCTGTTGATGAGATTAATACATTTTGTTGTTTTTTACTCAACTACGAAACGGTACAATCAAACATTTTAGAAACATAGCCTGTGATCGATTTACGATCAATCTCCCCCCAATTCGAATCTACATAACCGCACATCACATAATTATTGTCAGGTCTCAACACCAAAGCACAATCTAAACTTCCTTTAATACATCTCAAAATTCTCTTCAATGATTTATACAAATTCACATTTGCTTTATCCTGAAAACGACTTAACAAACTAACACTTTGGCACAAATCGGGTCTAGTTCCTAATGCTGCGTACATTAAACTTCCGATTATTTTTCAATAAATGTTTTGCATTTTTGGATCATATTTATCACCTTTTAAGTTTTCATAGTTAACATTATTTTCTAACGGTGTATTTACAGATTTACATTCTTCCATTTTAAATCTTTTTAATACATTTTTTAAGTAATTTCTCTGACTCAGTTCGATAACATCATCATTCGCATTGTGCACAACCTTTATCCCTAAATATTTTGATATTATCCCTAAATCTTTCATACAAACATTTTTATTCAAAATTTGTTTTATCGATTCCACATCACTCTTATTACTTCCCACGACATGTATAGGTATACATGTCTTCTTCTAAATCTCCATACAAAAATGCACTTCTCACGTCCATTTGTTGTACTTGACCACTGGCGCATACACATCGTACGTTTCTTCTTGACCGTCCTGTTGAAAAACCTCCTTTTCTCTTTTGGAACATGTACTGCAACAATTGATCCATATTCCTTTAGCAATTTAATATCATATTTTCTATCTAACCATGTTTCGTATGGTGTTTCATCTTTCTTTGAACGATTGCTTGTCCTATTTAACGTAAATACAGCTACAATCACAGCTTCAGCTCAAAATCTTTTATCTACATTTTTGCTGTGTAATAGAGTTCTTGCTACTTACACTATAGTTCGCATTTCGCGTTAAAACAAAACAAAAGCCCCACTTGTCCTTAACTAGTTTATTATTAATATTATAACTATTATTTCCACTTCAATGAGTTTATTTCACTTATACTATAACAAATCTCTGCGTGTCGTCTTCTCACATCTTTACTCTATGCCGTCTTCGCCATCTTCATCGTGTGTTCCCCTTTTTGGCTGTGTCGTCTTGTGTGTTCTCCTGGGATCAGTGTTGCCAACGACATCGTAGAGTAAAACTACATTGATGCTTAAAAAACTGTAGAAAACTGTAAATATTAATTTAAAAAACTGTTATCTAGCTTTATTTTAGCTTTCCTTTATGTTGTATAACTTAATATTAAAATTAATATTAATGGTGGTAATTATAGTAAAAAAATTATGAGTTCCTTAAATGTATTAAAATTAACAAATACAACAATACTTATGAAGAAGTTAGATATTATTAGCTATTATATCATTTTCAATTTGTAAATCTTCTTTATTCTCTGTTTCATTTTTTTTTAAAGCGTACATATTCAAAATCAAAACAGTTTTTAATTTCTGATTTTGTGTGCAAAGTACCCTTTATTGTGGTCGTAGAAAGCTTATTTTTAAGTTTCGTCTTCATAATATTAACAGTTGAAAACAAACGTTCTACCGTAGCAGTACTGTGTGGTAGACACAAAAGTTTTTTTGTTAAATTAGATAACAGTGGAAATATTGTTGATTCATCGCCTTTTTGTAATCTGGAAACGTGTCCCCAAAATTTTTCCACATTAAGCGTGTCAGCTTCGTCAAAATTCAAATTGGTGTTGCGAAGAGTTCGCCATTCCCTATCCAATTCCGTTATATTTTCCGGGCAAATACTTGGGAAATAATATAATAGTTCAGCAATTAAAGTTATTTGCTTTTTGTTCAAAGTATGGTCTAAAATCGCTTGTGAGTTCAACATCTTTAAACACTTTAAAGCCCTACGTTCTTTGTCATCGAAAGGAAATCTCCGTCTGATTTGGGTTGCTGACTCAATGTAAAACTCTGTACATTTTCTATAAAAATTTGTTAGTTTATCGTCATCCAACTCTTTAGTGTCCTTTTTTAACCGAATCAAATTTAGTATCATTCCGCCTACATATGTTTCAAATAACGGTAAATGGGTCCTAACGTCGTTTACATCAATACTTTCTGTTCTTTGGCAGTTGAAATATTTTTTGGCATTGTTTTTATCTTCTTCTGTTAATTCTAAATAAATTGGTTGTATAAAGCAGTCTAAAATAGTTACATACACAGTGTAAATTTGATCATATAGTAAGTACAACTTCGGTTTCTCCGCTTGCATTTCTTTATTTAAATCAGTAAATATAGGTAACACAAATCGTAAAAACTCCAAGTATAATTCAGTTGTCGGTTCCAGGGCTTTCGTTAAAATACCTTGCGCAGAAAGAAGACGATCTGTAAAAACTGCCGATTGAAAATATAGTTTAATAGCCGGGAGCTGTTCTAGCAATCTATTTACAACATCGTTAAACGACAGCCATCTGGTTTGTGCAGGGTGTAATATTTTATGTCGTTTTATATTTGCAAACGCCTGAAATGTTTTGAAATCACCAATGCGTTTCGGTGAGTTTTGGATGTGATCAAAAACTTCGCGACAAAAGTCCTGAAGGCCCCTCGGTAATTTTTCACATGCATTGGACGCGCAAAGCGCAAATGAATGACATTTAATAATGAAAAGATTGGGTATATCGTTCTTTAAATGAGTAACCATCGAGTTATTGCCTCCAAACATTACATGGGCGCCATCGGACGCAAACCCTATCATATTTTTCTTGTACGGGATTTGTTTCTCAATAAAATATTCGACAGTTTTATTGTATAAACCATTAGCTGAACCGTCGGTAACTGGTATTAACGTTAGAAATTTATCTTCTACTTCATAATTTGGGTTGACTAACCTCGCGATCAAAGCTAAATGCTCGACTTATCAGTACTGTCATCTACCAACAATGAAAAATGGTTTTGTCTTAAATTTTCTGTCAAGTTTTCTTCAGCTGTTTTTCCTGTTATATTTACTACAATTGCGCGCGCTTTAGTTCTGCTCATAGACAATTTTTCAGCAATTTTTGAGTCTGGACATACAGATTTTACTAAATTAGTTTGATGTGAGGCAACATTAAATGCGAGGTTATGTTCTGCAATAAAACAAGCCAGCTTAATTTCACCGGCTTTTGCCATCCGGTGCGATTGTTGCGAATTTGAAGATGATAAAAACAAACATGTAAGTTTAGGTTGCTTTTGTAATATCTTACAATTCCCTTCATGCTTAGACGAATTTTTATGCCGCATCAGTTCTTGAATACCGCATTTCCTATCACAGTCGCATGCAGAACAATAAAAATACGTATTACCTTTTTTTACTTTTTGCAAGCCATCCACTAAATTTTTCATCTTTGAGCCAAGAATCAATAAATTTTTGCTCATATCTGACTACTTTCTTCTTTTTAGGTGGTGATTTAGCAAAATCTGACTCACTGTCACTGCTACTAACCATAGTCCTAACTTTTTGATTGTTTTCAAAGCACTTATTATTATAAAAATACTCAAAACAACAATCGGTCGCTAAAAAATCTAAACAAATGACAGCTCTGGCAAGACAGGGGATTTCTGCGTCACAAACAATAGAAAACAGGAACTCTGTTTTGTCTCTATTTTCTATCGACTAACGCCATCTATTAAATCGATTAACAGTTACATAGAAGGAATATAGATGTAAAGATGAAAATTTTTTTTATTAACTATTCAGGATCTGTGCTACATATGTTTCGACTCACCGCAGAGTCGTCATCATGCACGACTAAAATAATATATAAAGTAAATAATATAAATAAAAAATATTAAATTAATTACCGTCAAATGGGTTCACAAGTAAAGGTTGTAGAATAATGATCTCATTATAAATCTCAATGTTTAAACAATGTTTTCTCGTGTACAAACAATACAACCAAATGTTATGGTACTTTAAAACAACGGAAAAATCCTCGAATAATCAGATACAATCACAAGTTAATTTGCTACACATTAAAAATTAAAACGAATACGAAATAAAACCGGATTAGGCGGGAGTTATAACCTGAAATGCCAAAGTGTATGGCAGGAATATGGTCACGTGAACGAAATAGAGTGGCAGAATCAAATTAAAAATCACTGCATCAGTTTTAGAAATATTTTGTTGTTATTGATATCAGTTATATCATTTAATAATAGCTCTGGGAAATTCTTTTTGTTCAGCGTTATATAGTATTCCTCATATAGGTCTAACAATTTTGATTTTTTAAGATTTTTAATAATATTTATATCCATTTTATTAGGTTTATGTTTATATTCATAGTTTATATATAATGTCATATTTTTGGTGACATTTCGATTCTTCTTCCATAGAGCTACACACATTCCACTTAGCAATATAAACAACCTAATTTTCCCTAGACGTAAACAAAAACTAACTTATTTAAAATTACCTTATCAACCTAGTCTACAATACAAATTTAAAGAAATCCTATTCAAGCATAACATTAATGTCGCCTTCACAAACATCAATAACATGAGTCAAATGCTTATAAATAACAAACACAAATTTGAAAAGAACGAAATGAGTGGTATTTATAGATTAAAATGTAACGACTGCGAGAAATTTTATATAGGACAAACAGGAAGAAATATGACTACAAGATATGGCCACATGCGGCTCTTTGAATGTTTATTTGTAGCTCTCGATAAATGTACTCGGGGTCCTTTTTTTTTCTTTTTTTAGTATATAAAATATGATTTCTCTAAAAAAATTGTTTTTAATACCTTTTTTGCATACCTTTTTAATATATACGTATTTAATTGCGGCTCGCGAAAAATTTCGAATTTTGAAAAATGGCTCGGACTATCAAGGAGCTTCGCCACCCCTGCTATATAACGCTGAACAAAAAGAATTTCCCAGAGCTATTATTAAATGATATAACTGATATCAATAACAACAGAATATTTCTAAAACTGATGCAGTGATTTTTAATTTGATTCTGCCACTCTATTTCTATTTTGTCTCCTCTATTTCGTTCACGTGACCATATTCTTGCCATACACTTTGACATTTGAGGTTATAACTCTCGCCTAATCCGGTTTTATATCGTATTCGTTTTAATTTTTAATGTGTAACAAATTAACTTGTGATTGTATCTGATTAATCGAGGATTTTTCCGTTGTTTTAAAGTACCATAACATTTGGTTGTATTGTTTGTACACGAGAAAACATTGTTTAAACATTGAGATTTATAATGAGGTCATCTTCTACAACATTCTACAACCTTTACTTGTGAACCCATTTGACGGTAATTAATTTAATATTTTTTATTTATATTATTTACTTTATATATTATTTTAGTCGTGCCTGATGACGACTCTGCGGTGAGTCGAAACATATGTAGCACAGATCCTGAATAGTTAATAAAAAAAATTTTTCATCTTTACATCTATATTCCTTTATCTATACATCAAAGATGAACCTGGAGAATCTAATAGCTATATTAACATTTACGTAGTTTGGTCTCCTAGATTTTAGATGGCAAGTTTATCTGAAGCAGAATTAGTGTACGGGCGATATGTAATACGTGAAATATATGGCATTACAATATTAACTAAAAAACAGTAGATTTGTAGGTCTAAACTAAAAACTAGGAAGATTTAAAAAAAACTGCAAATCTACAGTTAAAACTGTAGTGTTGGCAACAGTGCCTGGGATCTCGTCCTCAAGAGTGGTGGGGGTCGCCATTGGCGTCCCTACAATAATATGTATGGTTATCACCATAGCAACATTAACTTTTAAATACATACATTAGTTTTAGATAGAATAAAAAGAATTTTTCTAAATAAACTATATTTTTTTAATAACTATAAGAAATATACTCAACAAACTATAGTATATAATATATATTATCAGAAAAAACATAACAAATTCTACCTATATAATGTTTTACTTGTAATACTCCATTTTTGGTAATAAGTGAGATATGCGCGTTTGTCGTTTTTGCAAATCGGAGTTTTCGGCATTAGCAGGTTCTCTCAGCTACTTTTTATGTATCTCTTTTAGTTTCGGAGATATAACGTAATTTTTTCTTTTAAGTGTTTATCATCAAACGAAACCCACTACACAGCGGCCGTAATTGAGTACAACTTTTCAAATTTAAACTCAAACCAAAACCAATCCTACGAAGATAGCACCAACGAAATAATAAACGACTTCGTAAATTTAATCGCATCGGAAACCGCAAAATCCTTCGATATAATCGTGCTTCCAGAATCCGTAATCACCACCGATATCAATACTCGCCAAGATTTAATCGATCTCTCCCCCCTAATCGCAACAGGAAACAACCCGTGCAATAACCCACAATTATTCCCGGATTATTACCGAACATTATCATGTTCGGCTGCAAACTTTAACACTTACATCGTTGCAAACGTCGTCGAAAAGTCTTTGTGCGAACGCGAACCTTGTGCTTCGGATGGATATGATTTATACAATACTAACGTGGTGTTCGATCGAGCCGGATTTGTAGCGGCTAGATACAGGAAGTTCCATCTTTTTGGGGAATATGAGAAAAATGTTACGGAAGAAGTTGATTTGACCACTTTTAAAACTGATTTTGGGGTTAATTTTGGAACTTTTATTTGTTTTGATATTTTATTCGAGGAGCCAAGTTTATGGTTAACTAGAAATGGGACGAAACATTTGGCGTTTCCATCGATGTGGTTTTCAGAAGCTCCATTTTTAACCGGTATTAATTAATTAATTTATTTATTTAATTATCGTTGATATAATTTCCAATTTTTGTAGCATTACAAGTTCAAAATATGTTCGCTGTGACTACTGACAGTGTTTTATTAGCTTCCGGGGCGAATTATCCTGCAATTGGTAGCGGAGGATCAGGATTTTACATTGGTATAAATCTATATATCTTTTTAAATTAAAAAAAACGTTTTAACTAATATTTATTAATTTAATAGGTGTTGAAGGCCCCAAAAACATCGGAATCGTCTCCCAAGGTGGTACCAAAATCTTCATTGCCGACCTCCCTAAAGATTTAAACAGAAATTCCAAAAGAAACCTTCAAAACAATCAAAGGAAAAAATCCGTGGAGGAAATCGATCAAGTTGCAAAAAGCTTGGATGAATTTTATTTAAAAAGGGATCAATTAGATGGTAACACATCCTTTCAATACATCTTAATCTCTCTTTAATTATTATTTTCAGTTTACACAACACATTTAATAACGGAAAACATCAACTCAACGTATTGCCACGAAGATTTCTGTTGCAAATTTGTTGTCGAGTTTACAAACACTCAGAAATCTTTAAAAAGTTATTATTATAGAATATTTATTTATTCCGGTGTTCGAACTTTCGGTGGAATTTACGGTGGCGTTGATGTTTGCGCTGTTAGTTTTTGTAATGATACTTCTTTGGAATCTTGTGGAAGACGGTGAATAATTCCCACTTTCTCACTAATAAGCCTTTATTAATAAAAGGATTTTTTGCCTATATTTTAGGATTATTCCGTATGAAGATATCGAATGGAACTTGATTTTCGAAAATATTGAAATAACCGGAAATTTTGATGATTCGAAACGAAAACAACAATACCCTAATAGCTTATTAAGCGATTTAGAGCCATTACAAGCAGCTGAATATGCTTGGGAAAGTGATGAATCAAACTTGTTGAGTAACGGAAAAATCGAACGGAAAATTAAATTATTGACTTCTCAAGAGCGATTATTGACGTTTGGTATTTATGGGCGGGATTTTACTAGAGATAGTTCCATTTGAAGATGGGTTACCAGCAAATTAAGACTACTTATATTGTAATGTTATTGAATTAAACATAGTCGATATGATTTTTTGAAAATTTCGTCGTTTAGTTTCTTCTTTAATAATTTTTTTATATACAAATTTCAATAATATTATCTAATAGTTTTTAAATCACATCATAAACTAGAATCTTTAAGCGTCAACTTGATACTTATATCATTAGTGTCCGACCGAAACCTACATTTTCCTCCGAAACCAAAATTCGACTTTCTCCCAGAGTTTCAGATTTTCCAACAAATTCAGTTTTTCCAAATTTTTAAATAAAATCAAAAGAAATGTAAATTCTTCATAATTTCGATTTTGTAACACATTATCATCGACTCTTTTTCTCGTCGATGTTGTTAATGAAAAAATTAAACGACTTCTTCTAAATATTATTGTTTATTAAAAAATTTTCTTAATTACAAATCATTATCAATCTTTTTATTGACTTTCCAATTTATTTATTATTTTAGTTGTTATTTTATTTTATATCAACAAGGGTGCTTTTAATAACACCTACGAATGCGACTGAATTCAGCGTGGGTTCACAAATTAACAAAAAACTTTTTTGAAGTTAGGATAATTAGATTTTACCACCAAAAGTCATAGATGCAGATATGCAAATCTTATTACATCGATAAAGAAGGAAACTAATAGTTATTAATTTGAAAACTCTTAATTATGTTAATATAGTCTGTACACATATAATATGTAAAATATCGGTATGAANTGTAACACATTATCATCGACTCTTTTTCTCGTCGATGTTGTTAATGAAGAAATTAAACGACTTCTTCTAAATATTATTGTTTATTAAAAAATTTTGTTAATTACAAATCATCATCAATCTTTTTATTGACTTTCCAATTTATTTATTATTTTATTTGTTATTTCAACAAGGTATTTTATATCAACAAGGGTGCTTTTAATAACACCTACAAATCAGAGCTGGGCAAAATACCTCACAAAAGTATTTTAAATATAAAATATTTTAATGAAATTAAAGACAATTTTGCACTTTAACAATGGAAAATCCTTTATTTTTCAGCTTTTACCGGTTTCGCCCTTAGGGCATCCTCAGAAAGCAACCTGTTGTATAAAGCAACATAAGAGTACAACAATGCCTTATCTTAATATACCGGGTGTCCCTCAAAAGTGGCTTACCCCCATATTTTTCTTTATTATTGGTGATATAAGAAAACCATTTGGAATGCATAGTTAGGTCGCTAAAACGGATTATTACGACATGAAATCNTTCAGCGTGGGTTCACAAATTAACAAAAAACTTTTTTGAAGTTAGGATAATTAGATTTTACCACCAAAAGTCATAGATGCAGATATGCAAATCTTATTACATCGATAAAGAAGGAAACTAATAGTTATTAATTTGAAAACTCTTAATTATGTTAATATAGTCTGTACACATATAATATGTAAAATATCGGTATGAATTTATGTATTATAAATATTGCAGGAATAGGCAGGGAAATATAGGAATAAAAGGGAAGAAAGGTTGGGAGTGCAGCTGAGGGGAATTCCGGATGTTGCGGTAAATAAACGCTACGTATTTATTTACCCTCGTACATCTGGAATAAATAAATTAATGCCAAGGAAAGTGTGAAAAGGTAAGTATTATAAAAATACAGCTGGGGGTAATGTAAGGATGTGTTGCTAAGTAAGGTTGGGAATGCAGCTGAATGGGAAAATCTAGACGTTGCGGTGTACTAAGTGCTACATACTCAGTCACCCTCGTGCATCTAGAAAAATGTTTAATAGGTAAAATTAAAGTGCCAAACATGAATAACCAAATCCAAAATTTTTTAAACGGTAAAAAATGTTATGGATAATATGTAAGGCATCAAAATAATAAATATGGGTCACATTAAGCAGATACAATAGTGTGAGCTGAAGAGGATATTGTTGGAATAGGTAGGAAGCGTTGGGAGTGTAGTTGAGAGGTTTTCCAGATGTACGTGGATGGTTGAATACTACATATTCAACCATCCACGTACATCTGGAAAAATTTTTTTGTATTATTTTCTTTTTTGTTTTTTGGGGGGTGTATGGGGTCTTTAAGTACATGTACAGTGGCTTCCTGGTGGTTTGGATTTGTTCGTTCAGACAGTGGCATGTTGGAAAGTTGTGTTTGAATTTGTTAATTTCGTAGTATTCAAGTATCTCCATCATGTACCCTTTATTAGTTTTATGTATCAAAGTTGTGTTGTCATTGTCATCGAATTCATGTTCTATGTTAAATAGAAGGTGTTTGCCGAAATTGAGTTCTGTTTGGTTTTATGTTCGTATATTCTCTGTTCTAATCTTCTACCTGTCTGCCCAATGTATGTTGCTCTGCATGTTTCGCATTCCAATTTGTATATACCATTATCTTCAAGTTTATTTATTCTATCTTTATTGTTAACAAGTAGTCTACCTACTAGTTTTATGTATCAAAGTTGTGTTGTCATTGTCATCGAATTCATGTTCTATGTTAAATAGAAGGTGTTTGCCGAAATTTGAGTTCTGTTTGGTTTTATGTTCGTATATTCTCTGTTCTAATCTTCTACCTGTCTGTCCAATGTATGTCGCTCTGCATGTTCCGCATTCCAATTTGTATATACATGTTGCCGAAACCTTCGGTGTGACAAAATTAGAAGCTAAGGCTCGATAGCTCAGTCTTATAGATTGGGTCGTGGGAGAACGATCCAAAAAGAGTGAGAAACACAATAAGTATAGATAGTAAAAGGGCGCCACCAAGCTCTACCTTTTCCACTTCTAAAATAGTAAACCTAATATGTTGAACTTGGAAACATAAAATATCTGAACAGGTAATGTGAGCGACGAACGATTGAAATGGGGAGAAAATGGGGAGAATTATGTTGAGAACTACTGCAATAATACAAAGAAAATATAGTGATAATTCAATATAATAAATCAATAAAAAATTAATAATAATACACAAAAAAAAAATTATAATAAATTTATGTGACTCCTTTTGAGACACGAAATCTCACATAGAGAGAGAGTAAAAAAAAAAAAATAATAAATCGAACGTTGATTAAAACTTGATGTCAAACAATCTGAAGGTTATGAATATGGTTACAGAAAGTCTTACTTCTATTCTCGCAAAAAAAATAAAATCATCAATAAAATCAATAAAATTGATATTAAACAAAATGAATGTTATTTGATAGTGAACGTAAGACATAGATCTTTGACTTCAATCAGGGACTCTACTGGTCCACAAAACAAACCAAAATCTTGCGAGTCAAGATCACACATAAATAAAATAACCTCAAAGATTAACAGATTTAATTACGATTATCTCTCTCTGTTATTTAAT